TCTGTAGGAAATGTTTCTCTCTATCTTCCTATGTCTCTATACTTCATTGTTCTTTCTGTTTGCCTCTCTGACACACTTTGGCATCTAACTTGTTTAGACACACATATAAAATTACACCTTCATAAAGCTGTTAAATAAGAAAACTTTTTAAAATGTAAAAAAGGATGTTTTAACATCTTACAGTCTTAAAAAAAATTTTTTTTTTATGTGAACCAATTTTACAGTCTTTATTGAATTTGTTGAAATATGCTTCTGGTGTTTGTGTTCTGTTTTTTTGGCCACATGCCATGTGGGATCTCAGCTCCCTGACCAGGGATCGAACCTTCACCCTTTATGTTGGAAGACAAAGTCTTAACCACTGGACCACCAAGGAATTCCAGCATCTTGCTAATACAGTGTTTCATTTAAACACCAGCTACTAAGACAAAGAATCATACTGTGTCATACATGCATAATTCTAAGATAAATTTGCTCAAATAAATGCAAATAGTAGTTATATCACATTGACTTGCATGGTGCCAAGAAGAACCATTTTGCTGACACTTAAGTTTGAAATTAAATTTCCCTCAAATTAAAAAAAAAAAAATTTCCCTCGAATCTACTTCAGATGTGCTCATATTCTTTTTCTTTTTTCTAATGCAGAAGGAAAAGCCTTCCTTTTCTTCTCCAGCCTGTTTGTGCCCCCAGCATCCTTAAATCCAGCCCTTCTTTCTTCTTCTTTCTCCATCTAGAACCTTATTCTCAAATTTTTAGTAAACCCACCACTCTCAGTTCTCCTTCCTCAAAACTCACAAAAATCTTCCCTCAATCTTGTTATAGGTTCAAGCCACCACCTTCTGTCTGTCGTCCTTTTCTCATGTCCAAATTTCAAATAATTCAGTTATGGGTTCTATTTTGTCATTTTGTTATCTGGCTTTTGCCTTCAATTCAGTATCGAAATTGCAGTCTTACAGTTCACAAATAATTGTTGATCAGTACAAAATCAATACATTTTTTTGAGCCCTCATTTTTCTTGACTTTTTTTTTTTTGATAGTCGATTATCTTTCCTTCTTGAAACTCTCCTCCTTGGTTTTGGGACACTGCAGTACCCTGTTTTTTCTCCTCTAAACACTGTCTTCCTTTCATTCCATTCATAGCTTTTTCTTCCAACACACCAAAATAAGGTGCTCCCCAAGACCCTGTCATCTTTTCTTGGCAAGCCCTTCCTTGATCTTTTCTATTTACCCTTCCATTTCAAATATCACCTTTATGTAAATGACCACCGAGACTATACCCAGCCAGTATGTCTTTTTTGTGAACTGTTAACCTACACTTTCTTTGTTTAAGTGTGTATTTTTCACATTCTCTTGGGCTCTCTCTTCCCGCTTGTCATCTCCTGTCTAAATCTGTGTGTTCTGTCTTTCTCTGTCTGTTCCCAGTGCAACAGCATCAGGTCCATTCTGACTGCTTTGCTGGCCATCCTGTGACTGCTTCCTCCATCGTGGAAAAGCTGGGTTCTCATGAATCACAATATGTGTATTGATTTGCCCAATCCTACGAGACACTAAATGATTTTGGAATTGCCACTTCACATTTCTGTGAAGGAAAAAAAAGCTTGTTCCCAAGTTTTTGTTTTGTTTTGTGGTCTCTAAACTGAGATGACAGAGTCGAAAGTCATGTGCTCAAATGTTACTTATGATCCCAAAGTTTTCATCCATAAAAGAGTAGAGGCTGCTTCTTCCGCACATTGCATGGCTATCCCTGGCCAACTGGGTCCTTGTTAAGCGTTATCCTCACTCCAGGACCCAGGCTGACACAGCGGTCACCATCACTGTGGCCGAGAAACAGCCAGTGAGGGTCTTCCCTGGTGGTCCAGTGGTTAAGAATCCTCCTGTCAATGCCAGGGAGACACGGGTTTGATCCCTGGTCTGGGAAGATCCCACGTGTCGAGGAGGAGCTGCAACCACCGAGCCTGACAACCACAACGACCGAAGCCCACCCTGGAGCCTGTGCTCCGCGACAGGAGAAGTCGCTGCAAGGAGCCTCAGCACCACAGCCAGAGAGCAGCCGCCACTCGCCACAGCTAAACGAAGCCCACACAGCAAAGAGACCCAAGGCAGCCAAAAAGAGGAGAGAAATCTTTAAAACCACACAAAGAGCCCGAGAGGGGTCCTGCGCTCTCAGAGGATCTGTTTGGAAATGAGCATGTGGTTCTGCCCTGTTTGTTGGCAAAGCATCACAATTCAAAAGGGGCAGGTAATGCAATCAGACCACATGCTCAGGGGGGTAGGTGGACATGCCCACCTCATTTACCAAAAGGATCCCCAGAATCCTCCGAAATACATATTTTACAGGTAAGAGGACTGGGGTACAAGAGATGAAGTGAACATCCACCCTAGGGTTGCAGAACTGAGAAGCAGATCCTGTTTTTAGACCCCAGGAACCCAACTTCAACCTGCTCTTCATCAATATATGGATCCAACAGCATCTTCTATCTGTCTAGTGTCCTAATACAGACACACACACACACACACACACACACACAGAATTCATCAGGCAGCTCCCGCACTGATGGACATTTAGAAGCTCTTTCTGACATCTTCTTGTTAGAACTGAGCTCCCATGAACATCCTTGAACGGATTTCCCCTCTGACCATTTTTTCCCTCCAATTCCCAGAAGCTGAAGTGCAATTCACATTCTTTTCTATTTAGGGCCTCCACATATCCTGAGTTCTGTGTAAAATGAAGATGCAAACAGAACCACTGCTGTACCTCCATTAATAGTGATTATATGGGATGACATATCCTTGTAATAATTCCTGACCCACAACAGAGGCTCACTTATATCAGAGCTATTATTTCTTCCCTCATGAGTGGCTGGTGGCAGCATGCAGCATCATGGCGCTGAAGTCCAGGATCTAGTTTTCTCCGTTGCTTTTGTGTTGGCTGGGGGGTACTTCAGTGAACCCACGAAGGCTTCAGTTTCTACACACGGAAGAAGGAGTCACTGTGACCTTCCCTTCTTGAAGGTGTCTGGCTGAAGCCAACATACTCGTCTTTCTAGCCCAAAGATCCTTCTGAGTTTCAGTGGTCTCTGAAGATGAAAAGTCAACAGAAGTGTTGATAAAATCATTTATACACAGACTGATGGTTGCCAAAGGGGAGGAGAGGTGGGTGAGGGAAGGATTGGAAGTTTGGGATTAGTAGATACAATATATATATACCATATATAGATATAGTATATATATATAGTATATATAGGATGGATAAAGTATAGTTGATTTACAATGCTGTGTTAATTTCTGATGTACAGCAAAGTGATGCATATATATGTATGATTTTCCATATTATTTTCTGTTATGATTTGTCACAAAATATTGAATTAGTTCCCTTTGCTCTACGGTAGGGCCTTGTTGTTTATCCATCCTATATCTACTGCAGTGAACTGGCCAGGTTGAGTCTCATGTTCACTGGGGCCAAAAGCATCACTACAACCAAGGTACACGAGCAGATGGTCTCTGTCTTATGATTTCTTGACTTACTGTTGCTGCTGCTGCTAAGTCACTTCAGTCGTGTCTGACTCTGTGCGACCCCATAGACGGCAGCCCACCAGGCTCCCCCGTCCCTGGGATTCTCCAGGCAAGAACACTGGAGTGGGTTGCCATTTCCTTCTCCAATGCACAAAAGTGAAAAGTGAAAGTGAAGTTGCTCAGTCGTGTCTGATTCTTGGCGACCCCATGGACTGTGGCCCACCAGGCTCCTCTGTCCATGGGATTTTCCAGGCAAGAGTACTGGAGTGGGGTGCCACTGCCTTCTCCTTCTTGACTTACAGGAGTGAACTCAGTAGAAACCCTTAAAAGTTGAATTTTGGTCTTTTCACAGGCTATCAATATATGGTACCTTCTTTTATGTGATGCTAGGCAGCGAGCCCCAGCCATGAGATTGTGAAGGTTAACATTGATCCATTTACAACCATTCTGGTTTTCAGTTCCATTACAGTATTCAATACATTACATAAGCTATTCAACAGTCTATTGTAAAATAGGCTTTTTGTTTGATAATTTTTCACTGTTGTAGGCTCATGTAAGTTTTCTGATCATATGTAAGGCTGGATAGGTTAAGCTCTGATGTTTAGCAGGTTAGGTGTACTAAATGCATTTTCAGCATAATGATATTTTCAACTTGTGGTAGGCTTATTGGGACATGAGCCTGATAAAAGAAATTTTCACATAGTGAGATATGAAGAAGTCATTCTGGCTTATGCATGAGTTCACTTGGGTTTGATGCTAACTAAAGCAGCCTGGTTGTAACATATCAAACAGACATTGTACATCTGCTTTAATTATTAAAGAAAAGGACACACTGGCCAGAAGCAAAGAATGTCCATGTTAAAAATAAAGATTAAACGCCTCTCTTCCTGGAATGTCAATGTTGCCCTCCTTTGATAACCATACACCCTTCCCAGGTGTCAAGGCCATGCAGGCTTGCTGTATATGTGCTGGATTGTTCTTTTATTTGGAAACTTTGAAAAATGTACCCCTGACTTTTAATGTTCTTTGCTCTGACAAAATATAAGACTGCTGAAAACTCTGCTTCTTGTAATCATCTGGGAAGCAGGCTTCCAGGCTATAGTCCTCAGTTTGGCTCAAATAAAACTCTTCCATTCTTCTTACTGCTTGTTGATTGATTGTTTTCCTCAACAACCCCTCTCATAAGCCAAAGAAGATCTGTACTTCTGCCAGGAATGAGTGGTACCCAAAGGAAGAATGTAAGATTGTTATTAACAGAAGGGGGAAGAGAGGTACTGACTGGGCATGACTTAGCAGGTAGATGGGTGCTGGGTGGTAAAAAGGAATAGCTTTCCGATGTACATGGGAAACATACATGTAATTGAATGAGCTGTGTTGGAAGAGGTCATGGAGAGTACATGACTTCCAGCTGACCAGTGAGCTTGAGGTAGCTTGATGGGCTCATGGGTGTGCCTGTGGCTGACATGCACTCTCTTCTCTTCTGCAAGCAGGACTCGGAAGTTCTGAACATGGCCATTCCCACTGGAAAGGCTGTTTCAGGTCCCATCAAGACGGTGGTGGTTCAGGAGGATGGTTTGGTGGTGGACGTGTCAGAGGCTATGAAATGCAGGTCTGCGGATGAAGACGTCATCAAGGTACAATGGGTTTTGCTTCCAGACGTCCCGGTGTTTGGTCCTTTCCTTCCCGTTCTGTCACACGGCTGCTCTGAGCATCCCAGGCTCCCAAGGGCTGAACCTGAATGGGGATGCTGATGGGGAGCAATAGGGATGCTGATGGGGAGCAATAGGGGTGCTGAGGGGGGAGTGATGGGGATGCTGAGGTGGGAAGTGATGGGGATGCTGAGGGGGGAGTGATGGGGATGCTGAGGGGGGAATGATGGGGATGCTGAGGGGGGAGTGATGGGGATGCTGAGGGGGAGTGATGGGGATGCTGAGGGGGGAGTGATGGGGATGCTGAGGGGGGAGTGATGGGGATGCTGAGGAGGGGAATGATGGGGATGCTGAGGGGGAATGATGGGGATGCTGAGGGGGAATGATGGGGATGCTGAGGGGGGAGTGATGGGGATGCTGAGGGGGAGTGATGGGGATGCTGAGGGGGGAGTGATGGGGATGCTGAGGAGGGGAATGATGGGGATGCTGAGGGGGGAGTGATGGGGATGCTGAGGGGGAGTGATGGGGATGCTGAGGAGGGGAATGATGGGGATGCTGAGGGGGAGTGATGGGGATGCTGAGGGGGAGTGATGGGGATGCTGAGGGGGAGTGATGGGGATGCTGAGGTGGGGAGTGATGGGGATGCTGAGGGGGGAGTGATGGGGATGCTGAGGAGGGAGTGATGGGGATGCTGAGGGGGGAGTGATGGGGATGCTGAGGAGGGAGTGATGGGGATGCTGAGGGGGGAGTGATGGGGATGCTGAGGGGGAATGATGGGGATGCTGAGGGGGAGTGATGGGGATGCTGAGGGGGAAGTGATGGGGATGCTGAGGGGGGAGTGATGGGGATGCTGAGGGGGAGTGATGGGGATGCTGAGGGGGGAGTGATGGGGATGCTGAGGGGGGAGTGATGGGGATGCTGAGGAGGGGAATGATGGGGATGCTGAGGGGGGAGTGATGGGGATGCTGAGGGGGAGTGATGGGGATGCTGAGGAGGGGAATGATGGGGATGCTGAGGGGGGAGTGATGGGGATGCTGAGGGGGAGTGATGGGGATGCTGAGGGGGGAGTGATGGGGATGCTGAGGGGGAGTGATGGGGATGCTGAGGGGGAGTGATGGGGATGCTGAGGGGGGAGTGATGGGGATGCTGAGGAGGGAGTGATGGGGATGCTGAGGGGGAGTGATGGGGATGCTGAGGGGGAATGATGGGGATGCTGAGGGGGGAGTGATGGGGATGCTGAGGGGGAGTGATGGGGATGCTGAGGGGGGAGTGATGGGGATGCTGAGGAGGGAGTGATGGGGATGCTGAGGGGGGAGTGATGGGGATGCTGAGGGGGGAGTGATGGGGATGCTGAGGGGGGAGTGATGGGGATGCTGAGGGGGAGTGATGGGGATGCTGAGGGGGGAGTGATGGGGATGCTGAGGAGGGAGTGATGGGGATGCTGAGGGGGGAGTGATGGGGATGCTGAGGAGGGGAATGATGGGGATGCTGAGGGGGGAGTGATGGGGATGCTGAGGGGGAGTGATGGGATGCTGAGGGGGGAGTGATGGGGATGCTGAGGGGGGAGTGATGGGGATGCTGAGGGGGGAGTGATGGGGATGCTGAGGGGGGAGTGATGGGGATGCTGAGGGGGGAGTGATGGGGATGCTGAGGGGGAGTGATGGGGATGCTGAGGAGGGGAATGATGGGGATGCTGAGGGGGAGTGATGGGGATGCTGAGGGGGAGTGATGGGGATGCTGAGGGGGAGTGATGGGGATGCTGAGGGGGGAGTGATGGGGATGCTGAGGGGGAGTGATGGGGATGCTGAGGGGGAGTGATGGGGATGCTGAGGGGGAATGATGGGGATGCTGAGGGGGGAGTGATGGGGATGCTGAGGGGGAGTGATGGGATGCTGAGGGGGGAGTGATGGGGATGCTGAGGGGGGAGTGATGGGGATGCTGAGGGGGAATGATGGGGATGCTGAGGGGGGAGTGATGGGGATGCTGAGGGGGAATGATGGGGATGCTGAGGGGGGAGTGATGGGGATGCTGAGGGGGAATGATGGGGATGCTGAGGGGGGAGTGATGGGGATGCTGAGGGGGGAGTGATGGGGATGCTGAGGGGGAGTGATGGGGATGCTGAGGGGGGAGTGATGGGGATGCTGAGGGGGAGTGATGGGGATGCTGAGGGGGAGTGATGGGGATGCTGAGGGGGGAGTGATGGGGATGCTGAGGGGGAGTGATGGGGATGCTGAGGGGGGAGTGATGGGGATGCTGAGGGGGAATGATGCGGATGCTGAGGGGGGAGTGATGGGGATGCTGAGGGGGGAGTGATGGGGATGCTGAGGGGGGAGTGATGGGGATGCTGAGGGGGAGTGATGGGATGCTGAGGGGGGAGTGATGGGGATGCTGAGGGGGAGAATGATGGGGATGCTGAGGGGGGAGTGATGGGGATGCTGAGGGGGGAGTGATGGGGATGCTGAGGGGGAATGATGGGGATGCTGAGGGGGGAGTGATGGGGATGCTGAGGGGGAGTGATGGGGATGCTGAGGGGGGAGTGATGGGGATGCTGAGGGGGGAGTGATGGGGATGCTGAGGGGGGAGTGATGGGGGTGCTGAGGGGGGAGTGATGGGGATGCTGAGGGGGGAGTGATGGGGATGCTGAGGGGGAGTGATGGGGATGCTGAGGGGGGAGTGATGGGGATGCTGAGGGGGAGTGATGGGGATGCTGAGGGGGGAGTGATGGGGATGCTGAGGGGGGAGTGATGGGGATGCTGAGGGGGAATGATGGGGATGCTGAGGGGGGAGTGATGGGGATGCTGAGGGGGGAGTGATGGGGATGCTGAGGGGGGAGTGATGGGGATGCTGAGGGGGGAGTGATGGGGATGCTGAGGGGGGAGTGATGGGGATGCTGAGGGGGAGTGATGGGGATGCTGAGGGGGAGTGATGGGGATGCTGAGGGGGGAGTGATGGGGATGCTGAGGGGGAGTGATGGGGATGCTGAGGGGGGAGTGATGGGGATGCTGAGGAGGGAGTGATGGGGATGCTGAGGGGGGAGTGATGGGGATGCTGAGGAGGGGAATGATGGGGATGCTGAGGGGGGAGTGATGGGGATGCTGAGGGGGAGTGATGGGATGCTGAGGGGGGAGTGATGGGGATGCTGAGGGGGGAGTGAGCAATGGCAGGGACTCACCTGGGATCAGAGGCAGCTGCAAGTGCTGTTTCCTTCCCCCCAGAATGGAGGAAGGGGAACTTCTTCCCCTTCTTTTACTCACAGGACAATGTTTCTTAAATTTTAGCAGTCTACTTGCCATCTTCTCAATTTTTGCTGACTTCCTGTGCCAAATAATGTAATTTACTCAACATATTTTTTTTAAATGCCTCACTTTTTCAACCTTAAATATCTCTAATGGCTCATTAGAGGACAATAAAATCCAATAGCTTGATGTACTAATTTTTTCTTAATATACACGAAATGAACGACTATTAACTTCTTAAAAAGTGTATCCATGTGCCCCCTAACTTCACTGGGGTACCAGCGGGACACAGCTCACAGTTTGGGGAATCTGGTTATGGCACATTTCTTTGTGTTCTCCATCTTAATGAGCTGGATTTACAACTCCAAATTCAACCAGGAACCAGCCCGTGACTTTTTTTTTTCTATATTCTTCACAGGGGTCTGTTTGAATCACCGAATTTAGAGTTCCTGCCAATTTTTTCTTGGCTCACTGGTTGGCAATTTCCTTTTGTAGCTGAGAACCTCAAGAGAAAGGACTTACATCTTTAGAGCAATCCTTTCTCCTTTAAGCTGCTAAGAGAGCTCCCAGGTCCTGTGTCTTCATTCATTTTAGAAAAACACAATAGCGCTGAGGTCTGCCTTCTTTCTATTCTGTTGGCTCCTGTTGAGAGGTTAAATGAAACTTTGTTCCCCTCTGATGAACTTTGTGGTGGACGGAAGATCCTGCGGGGGTTTCCCTGAGGTGGACAAGATCTGGGAGGCATTGATTCCTTCTCATGGTGAACTGCAGGAGGCTGTGTCTTAAGTAGGAGATGATTCTGATAAGGAAGAATTGATGTGAGGTCTAATTAAAATTAGAAAAAAATAATCCTTGGGAAGCCCCAATTTGGCATAGCCTATTTCCTGGGTTTCGAAGGCTAATTTTCCCCTCAAGACGGAAAGTGGACTGGCTTCAAAGTACACACAGCCTTGCCCTGGGGCTCCTGGCAGGCCCTCGACTCTGGGACGGTTTGATTAAACAGATCTAAAGCCTTCGATATTCAGTCTGGAAAGAGCCAAGCCAAGTCACAGTTGATTGTCTGCTCAGGAATGAAATCTATGTTGGTGATTCATTTCTCATGGTTACCTTAGACAATGCATGTTATTTAACTTTCCACATCGTTACTACAATCACATTATTTAGAGAGAGACAGTATCTGTGTGATTATGCTGCCACAGGCTTAAATAAATGGCTCAGCTCTGTAGTCTGTTCAGCCTGCTTCCTTCCCAAGTGCCTGGTGGGGAGCACCCCATGGCAGAACCCCCACTCTCCTGTCCTGTAGAGCTCTACCCTACAGAGGCGTGGCCAAGTTCATGGATCCCATTGTTGCCTTACACTTGGTTTTCTCCTCTTCCCAGAAATATACTAAAAATATCCTCCACCCTGCCTGATAGAGGAATTGCTCTGGGATGCAGTAGGTTTGGGTTCAACTGTCACTTTTGTGGCCACATAAAGATGAGACTTTCTTCTAGCAAATTGTGGCCTGATCTTGGCAAACCAGAGCATGCACATCACGAAGCTCAGGGCTGCCATAAGATGTTTTTTTTGTAGGGGAGCCCAGGCTCTGTTGCAGATTCCAGGGCCTGGCTCAGTGGAGGAGGATTCATTAAATGGCTGTGATGCACTTGTCACAGCTCTCGTGTCCATATTTGTCATATATTTTGTCACAACACTAAGGTGTACAGTGTCATCCTCAGAGCTGTCCTCTGGCCTCAGCATCACCCAGGG